TTTACATGGTGGGCCACACACAGCCCAGTTTGATTTTAAGTGGGCCGGACAAGTAAAGTTCCTCTTTCTTTCAGGAGAAAGAACTTTCACTAGACATTTAGAAAAGAAAAAGAAGCAACAGTATTTCTTATTTTTCTGCATAATAAGGAAATGCTGCTGTAGTAAATTAAACAAATATCAGCATGGTTTAAATTGTAAGCTTGTTTGTTTTTGTAACTGTCCAGTGGACCGGATTGGAATCTTTGCTGGGCTGATACTGACCCCCGGGCCTTATGTTTTACACCCCTGCATTAGACCTTAAAAATGCCCTTTTGTTCAGACAATTAGTTTTATTTTTACTTAACAGTTTATTCCATTTATGTTCTTATTTGAAATATTAAATATAAATATATACAAATATTGAACCTCTCTTGACTTGAAAGGTTGTCGATGAGTACAACAGGAGAGAGCAGGAGATTAAACAAATGGAGAAAGAGCTGGAAGAAAAGAGCAACGCCCTGAATGCCTACCGACAGAACATATCTGAGGCGAGTGATTACCTGGTTTCACAGAAATTGTCCAGTTTATCATTTGTTGTGTGACAGAATGGCATTGGGCTGTAATGATGTGTATATTTGGACTTTTTTTCTTCTGTGTCACAGGCTAAGGAACGCTGGCTTAATCCTCTGAAACATCTGGTTGAACAGATAAACGAGAAGTTCAGTGCTTTCTTTCGCTCCATGCAGTGTGCAGGAGAAGTTGATCTGCATTCAGAGAATGAGGTAATCGCAGAGTCACAGCACACTGCTGAGGTAGAGGTCTCCCTTTGCATCACCTTTAACCACTTATGATTGAGCACAAGTTCATTGAAAACTGAATTTTGAATAGACATGGTAGGCTGTTTAACTGAGGGAAATATTAAACTGTATCCATATTTTTAACGGATGCATCAAATTGGAAAGGTTAAAAATATAGATGGGGTTGCCTTATTATTTTTCACATTATATTTCTTCATAATTCAGCATGAATTTAGTTTAACTGAATATATTAGTGTCCTCTAGACTTAAAATAATGAAACTTAAATTGTCCAGTTTATCAGCGGTAGGACAGTTATCTCTCATGCGGTCGTACTCACATCAATTCAGTAGATTTATTGATGATTAAATACAGCTTGCAAAAAATCTTATCCACTTTTTTGTGAGTGGATACGATTTTTATGAGTGTCTTTAGAAACAAAAAAAAGAGAATACTGGGTCTTTCCACTGCAGGAGGAGTACGACAAGTACGGGATCCGCATCCGGGTGAAGTTTCACGCCACCACCCAGCTCCACGAGCTGACGCCTTACCATCAGAGTGGAGGAGAGCGCAGCGTCTCCACCATGCTTTACCTCATGGCCTTGCAGGAGCTCAACCGCTGTCCCTTCAGAGTGGTGGATGAGATCAATCAGGTAGTTCTTACACACAGTCTCAACAGTGCGACCGTAACAAAGGTGCACATGAGCTGCAGGTAGTGTAATTATTAGGGAAACCCAGGTACGAGTTTCTCTTTACTGCCCATTTTCTTCTTTTCCTGCACACATTTATTTATGTGCAAACCACTTCACACAGACAGATTTGAAAAGAGCACAGCTTATGTGCCGCTGCTTTCATGAAATTAACATTTTAACAACTTTAATAAATAGAACTCAGATCACGCCGACAGGCATTCACACAACAGTAGTCATCAATTGCCTTTATTAAAGAGTCTGAGCCCACCTGTTTCTTTATGCAGGGAATGGATCCTGTAAATGAAAGAAGAGTCTTTGACATTGTGGTCCGCACAGCCTGCAAAGAGACAACGTCCCAGTACTTCTTCATAACACCTAAAGTAAGTGTTCTATGTTCATGCAGACTGCCTGACTGAAAGTCCCAGCGGTACCAAGGAGCTGTTTATGTGCCACTTTATGCCAAATAGTCAGACTGTTTGGACTAAAGTATTGGGCTGCATCACTTCATCTTTGAGTCAGATTGCCACAGGTATATAAAATCAAGCACTTAGCCATACAAATGTTTGTAAAAGAATGGGTTCTAAAGAGCTCAGTGTATTCAGATAATAGTATTAGGTTTTTTATTTTATTTAATCTTGAAATATTTTTTTTGTTTTATATGAATGCACGACAGCCCAGTGCTCTTAATTTCTTCCTGCTGTGTTTGCCTACAGCTGCTGCAGAATCTTACGTATGCCGAGGAGATGACCATCCTTTGCATCCATAACGGCCCCCACATGCTCTCCCCCAACCAGTGGGACGAGAGGGCTTTCGTCAGACGGTGTCTTGACAGAAAAGCCAGGGCATGAGCCCCCTGGAATGACCTGTGCTCCTTGAAACTCTTTTAAAAAGAATTATTGGGTGTATTTTTTCACTTAATGTTCAGAATCCTTAATCTGCCATTTTTGCAGTTTTTTGTTTTTGTTTTAATTGTATTTGGCATCTATAAATCAGATTAAGAGAAAAGTGTTCACACATAATATCTGTCATTAGTTTTCATCATTTGCACATTTTCTTATTTATGCAGCCAATATCTTGTGTCATATGTGTCTTTAACAGTTGGCTCGTGTTTATATATTTGAATAAAATGTACTGCTGTTTCTCTTCTACGCTGGTCTTTAATGCTCACTTTAATGAAAAACACAAACAGAATAAAGAAGCATTGACAGAACTCGTTTATTTTCAGGGCCGAGGTCAGCAGTTGTTAGAGATGTTAGCTCTTGAAGCTTCATGCGGAGCTGAAGTTCTTGTGCTTTGTACAGCAGCCCCTGTCTGAAGACGCCTGTGAAGCAAAGATAAGTGCATTGTGTTTGTATTTGGACACACCTGACTCCAGACAAAGACACACTCCTCCCAGGGTCAGTGGATTAGGGTTGGAGTTGCAGTTTTAGAAGTATTAGGTTTCTCTGAGCTGATGATACATTTGCAGTTCATTGTGATTGATTTAACCAAGCTTTACCTGTGTGTCAGCTGATGCGAATAGAGCGCCTCTGTTTGTCGACCCACACCGTGATTCCATTTTCTGCTTCCTCCGTCTCTAAGTTTGCCTCTTTCCTGTAAAAGAACATACAAATAATCTTAACACAGTTGAACTACCTGATGCACCACTGCCAAAACATCACAAACACCCGCCTGTGGTCTTCAGAGACAGTCTCCGTCTGGTACAAAATCTGGTTCTTGCTCCAGAAGCAGTTCTTGTGGTGATCGTAGACCGCGTTTAGCTGAAGGTCGAGGCTGTCGTTTGGAGTCTGTGGTTGAGTACAGATCAGTCGTTCAAAGTAGAGATACTTCAGCCTTTCTGTGGTTTCATAAGTGAATGCTGACAACATACTGTACCTGAGTACAGTTCAAAATACTCCGCTGGGTGCTGGACACAGTGGCTGTGTCGTGGAGGCGACTCCAAGGTTCCTCAGTCTGGGCGATGTGAGTTGGTTTATTGTATGTTTTTTTCTGCAGGATAAGAAATGAGACTAATTCCAAATTTCCAAAGAAACGATATGCATAGATTCCAAATTTCAAACTTATTTACATTTTTAAGCATAGAACGACATCCACGTAGAATGAAATCTTACAAATGGTTTTTATAATTCTTATTTGTTTAAGTTCAATTTTTAATAACTTCATTAGATAACAATAACTAAGTGCACTAGGTAACATGCTTTGAAATGTTTTACAGTGTATTTTTAAATACTGCATACCTAGATTTAATTTACTTCATTTATCAGTTACCTACATATCAAGTGACATTATAAGGATTAGGTACCCGTGTCCAAATCTACTTTTCAGTCCTATACATTATACATAATTTCAGCAGGGGAATACTAGGACTGTGTGAGTCACTCTGTGCCACCGTGTTCCCCGGTAAGTTAAAACAAAACAAAACATGTCATTAATATTTTAAAATGACAATAAAAGTAACAAAGGAGCCAAATAATCTGCTCCAATCCAGACAACAAGATATTTATTTGCTCCTCTGGCTCTGTACTTCTGTTCATTTCAGTTTAAAAAAAAAAATTCTGATGTTGAAATTAAATATTTTATGTTAGTACTAAAAAATCTATGTGTGAGATGTAAACAGAGATTTGAGGAGTAAATGTGACCTTCTCATGAAAACAATTAGGTCCAAAAGAAAACACTAGTTGTAGCATCCCAGTTTTTCAAAACAGACCAAAAAGCTCCTTTAGACTAAGAAAATAGGAAACTTACAGGTGTCAAAACACTGGAAGTAAAGAACAAAAATATAATGTGTTAGATGATTTATGTATACATTTATACTTATATTTATAAGGCCCAGATGGTATTCTTATTAAAAAGTAACACCTTGTAATACAGCCTGCAACTAAGGGTGTAATTCCCCCAGTGTAAAGTAAAATTTCAGTATAGTTTTTGTGAAATCAATAACATCATGTACACTTAATAATATGTAATTACTTTCTTTCTTCTTTTTACACCATATTTATCATGCAAAATTTGGAAATATCGTTAGTTTCTCGGCTAAAATACTCGGTACTTACTCACTTCTTAAAATTACTTACAGTATAACTTGTTACTTCTTTCCTAAAAAAAGTGTTGCCCTTTTACAAGTAAATTACACCCTAATTTCATAACAAACAAAACAAAAAACAAAGCAAAACATAGTACACTCTTAATAATAAAGTGCTACTAGTGTAAAAAGTATATTTTGGTATAACTTGTTGAACACAAAGCATCAATAACGCCTCCCGGAGGTTTCTTTAGGAGATAAAGTTATAGTTATTAAAGCTAACGCACCTGCTGCGGCCTGTAGCCGCAGAGAGTGAGGTCGTTTTCTACCCTCGGAGAGGGGAAAGGATCCCGATTTGACATATTTAGATCTACAAACACTGGTCCATATTACTTTGTTTGATTTTTTCTTTTTGCGGCCTTTAAACGACTCTAGCTAAAGCAAGACGTTTACAACCCGGTTTCTCAGCAACAGCAAACTTCCGGTTAAACCTTTCACAGGAAAACGGTGATCGTTAAAAGGTAACTCGGACTCAGAGTAAAAACACCAAGCCAATCACATCCCAGAGTGTGAGAGGGAAGCCGCGCCTCCAGCACCTGAGGGCGCAGGTCAGACCTCTTCTCCTTCGTCTCCATCACTTCAGCACCGACAGCAGGTGACCATGCAGCCCGGCCTGACACACCTGAGCCACTGCCTGCTGTGGCTGCTTTTTCTGCAAACCTCCGCGGATCTGCCCATGTGCAAAGAGGTGAGGCGATTCATATTATTTATTTATTCATTTTTGTGATTTCAGTCATTTCTAAATCACCAAGGGATTTATTTCATGCGTGTGCTGCGACAAAGCAGCTGTATTTATAATTCACTCTAGTTCTGGGGGTGCAGACAGATGCTGGTGCAGGTGCATGTGCTGCTGTACGTGTACTGTGTGCTTCAGACTTTCAAATATATGAAAGGTTGGTCTAGAAAACACATATGTTTGATGTAACACATGTTCAAGTGAAATGCTGAATCACTCTTTAAACTAAAAGCAAACACTAAAATGAGCACAAACAGCAGTTTGTTTGAGCAGTTTGTGAGATTGAACATATGTTTCCCCTTCAAGTGTTTAAAGTACTCCTACACTTGTTTTACTAGAGGTCCCACATACTACACAGCCTGCTCGCTCTCTTACAGCCTCCATATCTGTGGTCAGTTTGCATAACAGGAGTAGCTTGAGATAATACTCAAACCACTCCTTTTGATCAGCACACTTTGCACCATATGGACCTCTAAGCTTTTTATTTCAGTTTCAGAAAGCAGTCCTGCTAGCTGCTCCTTTCCCCTCTGTGACTCTTGTTTTCAGCCCAGTTTATTTCACCATGTGGCACAGCGGTCATAATGTCCCGTTGCCCTGGTTTCCCTGTGTTTGTTTAAAGAGGGCAATTAAGCAACAGCACATCTCCAGTTCGATGCATTTTTACATCAAATCCTCCCACCCAGGACCTGCATTCACTTGATACCCTAGCACAGCTAATGTTGCAGCTCTAATTCAAAAACACAAGGATGGAGGAGTGCAGCTGCTGCTGTGTTTCTGTTAACTATTAATCCCATGAAGCTGTGTGGGTGTAGATTGGCGTGGCAGATGACCTTCCTTGGAATATCACATCCTTTTATTGACCAGTGACCAAATCTCCAGTTTACGCTCTGTGCCTGCTGTGTGTTCCTGCCTTGTTTCAGTGAGGTTAACTTAAATGTTTTGTCTCCTCCCAATTTACCTCATTATGGGTGGGACTGTGTTTGTCATTCGACTGAGAGCTTTTGTTGTCTTCAAAGTTCTTCGAGAACACTTAAATCAAATGTTTACAAAGGGACCGGTCGAATCAGCATCTCTCCTCTCAGCTGAGTAAACCCTTAAGGCTGCAGAGAAGCAGCAGTATCCTTGATAAGCGTGATTAAAATAACAGTTGAGACGGGCTCCTGGGCAAATATTAGCCTCCGCTTTTATTTGTAAAAGAGGCTGTCCTGGTTTGGGGAAAAGATTCCTGAAGTATAAGGCAACCTGGAATTCTTGTTTTTTTAAAACAAGGGTGCAACAATGAGTTTAGTGTTCCTGTGTGTGAGGAATTTACATGCTGAACATGTGAGGAATCAAAATGGGCAGATAAACTGCAAAATAATCCTTATTTGCATTTGCATTTTTTTTTTACATATACAGTTATTATTCCCACTTCCGGCTGTGCAAGTTATCCATTGTGTGCTTTTATGTCCAACTGTGTGAAACTCACACCTGTGTTTCATCCCTGCAGTCAGATTATCACTTTGAGTACACAGAGTGTGACGTCCTCGGGTCGAGATGGAGAGTTGCAGTTCCCAACAAAGCCGACATATGCACGGGCCTCCCAGATCCAGTCAAAGGGACTCAGTGCAGTAAGCAGTAACCTACTTTTATTTCAGGCATTTTCTCCAAGTCTTCAACCTGCACAACAGATACGCTCACTGTCAGGTGCACATCTCCATTCTCAGCATGTGCTTTGTCTCCTTTAAGCGTTCTCTTGTAATGAGGGGGAGTATCTTGATATGCAGTCACAGCAGTGTCAGAAATGTGCTGCGGGCACCTACTCTCTGGGCACCAGCGTGGCCTTTGACGAGTGGGACAGCCTGCCGACTGGTTTTGTCACTCACGGCGTGATAACGAATGAGGGGAATGACCAAACGGATTGCTCCAAGTTAGTATTCACAGTACCAAGCCCCCTCCCTCCTCCTGTCAAGATTTATCTGATTGATTGAGGCTCTCTGTATCAATTTTCAAAACCTTTTTAAACTGTTGCTGCTTGGTGATGTTTTTGCAGCTCAACCTGGACACCAAAGGGTGACTACATAGCCTCAAACACAGATGAATGCACTGCGACGCTGTCCTACGCCGTGAACCTGAAACAGCCTGGAAGTCTGTCCTTTGAATATTTCTATCCTGACACCAGCATCTACTTTGAGTTCTTTGTAAGGATTGTAAATGACTGCTGCTTCAGCTGACACAGATCACCTTTCGGTGTGAGTATTTGGTGAAATGTTCTCGTCTTCCTGCAGGTTCAGAATGACCAGTGTCAGTCGACAGACTCTAACAGTCGGTGGATGCGGATGTCAGAGAGCAGCTGGAGCAAATACACGGTTTGTCCAGGAAGCAGTTTTAGCACTTCAGTGCACTCAAGGCCAGCCCTGGGGAATTTTTGAATAAATGAATGCCCCACTCTGTCTCTGTACAGGTCGAACTAAATAAGGGCAACAATGTGTTGTACTGGCGAACTATAGCATACTCCCTGCAGGGCAGTGCTGTCAAACCTGTGCTGCTGAGAAACATTCAGATATCAGGTAAGATAGGAGTGCAGCAGGCCTAAACTTTTCCCTTTTCCCACCAACACGTTGTTTCTGTTAATGATGAACTTTTTTTGGTTTTCTCCAGGGGTGGCCTACACATCAGAGTGTTTCCACTGTAAACCCGGCACCCACAGTGCAAACCCAGGGTCCGCACGTTGTACCCCCTGCCCCGCTGATACCTACTCCAATAAAGGTGCCACTACTTGCCATGAATGCGAGGAAGATAAATACGCAGGTATGCCCGTTTGCTTATCTCTGTCCAGATGGAGTAAAGCGTTCTTACAGACTTACAACTGCTACGTTCCACACACATGCAAATGCAGCAGTTACTGCTTAGTGGTCAAGTTAATCTTTTCTCTGGACTTAAATGTGTGCTGTGCGTTTTTCCTCATCCAAAAACATTTCCAGTCGTCGGTTCAGCGAGCTGCAAACCGAGACCTGCATGTACAAGCAGTGACTACTTCTACACCCACACCCCCTGTGACTCTGAGGGAAAGGTAATGATACGTGGAAGTAGAGCTCCTGCTGGCTCAGTAGAGGTTTTTCTTTAAAAATCGCACTGGTGTAAATGTTAGGCTTCATTTAACATAAATGATCTGATTGAGCTGTAACGCTGCCACTGCTGCCTCTTCTTTTTGTGTATTGGTGTGTGTCTCAGACTCAGCTCATGTACAAATGGATCGAGCCTAAGATCTGCAGTGAGACTGTCGAAGGAGCACTGAAGCTTCCCGCGTCAGGGGAGAAGCAAACCTGTCCGCCATGCAACCCGGGTTTCTTTGTCTCCAACTCCTCCACCTGTGAGCCCTGTCCCAGCGGATCCTTCTCTAATGGCACAGGTTAGAGCCACTCCGCTCCTTTTTACTGTGTTTTACTGATGTCGGCCTTATAGTTTTATTTTGGCCTTGATCATGTGATATTAAAAAAATAAGGCAATCATGTTAATAGTTAGTTACATTTTTAGACAGCATGAGAGGAAATGTCATAAGATTTAAGGTGGTATGTCTAATATTGTTGACACTAATGACCTAATATCCTGATGTGATTTTCCACTGATTGCTCAGTTTGCACCGAGTGCCCTGCTGGCACAGAACCGGTGGTGGGCTTTGAGTACAAATGGTGGAACACGATGCCAGCCAACATGAAGAGCACCGTCTACAATCAAGTGTTCAGCGACTCTAACCGGCGTACTGGTGAGAACCTTAATATTAGAGAATGAGGTGTAGGTGGCATGGTGGTGCATTGGTTAACACAGCAAGAATGGGGTTTGAATCCAGTCTGAGGCCTTTCTGTGTAGAGTGCGCATGTTGTCCTCCTGTCTGCATTGGCTTAGTTCAGTATTCTGGTTTCCTCCTGTAGTCTAAAGATGTGTGAATAGTTGTCTGTTTCTGTGATTTAACCCTGTGACAAATGGCTGACCTTTTCATGATGTACTGATGATCTCTTACTATGGGTGAATAGACATAATCATTAACTTGTGGTGAGGAACTTCTCAAAGTAGAAAGATAGCAAAGTGATTAAACAGCCTGAGGCCAAGAATGAAACCTGCACATCAGCTTCAGAAGCGTATGTAATGGTTGAAGTGAATTGTGTAATAGATCCTTAGTTGTAAGTAGGTTAAATTCATTTAAAAATTAAACTAGTTTGCTTTGGTTTCAAAAATTATCCACAGTGAGTTTATATGTTTGCATGTGTACGTTGCTGTTGGGATAAAATGTATCTTACAGCTTTTATCTTTTGTAATGGCAGCGTGGGAGGTGGCTGGAGAGTATATCTACACCACCCCCGGGGATCAGGACACAGACTATTTAATGCTCACGCTCAGTGTCCCTGGATACAGGTGAAGTCAAACAAGAACTAAACATAAAAGTTTCTCTTCAAATTTGAGCTTGAGTTGTTAAAGACGTCTAATAAAACGCCGCTGGTTTTCACAGGTTGCCTCAGTCCATGGTCAAAGACGCTGAGAGGAGCGAGCTATCTCGCATCACCTTCGTCTTTGAGACCATTTGTACAGCTGACTGTAAACTTTACTTCCTGGCGGTGAGGATGGTGTCCCAACATTTTTATAGCATGACTCCTCCAGGATGTATAATGTGCACATGAATAAATGAATGAATGTGCTTTTGTTTCTGTAGGGATACAATCAGTGGAACAACGATGTGATGGAGCATTGGAATGGCAGAAACCACAAGCAGTCATACTCCTACTTGATCCAGAGCAACAGCACCGTCAGCTTCACCTGGACGTTTAAGCGAACAGATGGCACGGTGAGATACAGACACGCATCCCACCTACTCAGGTTGATTTATTTCCTTCTTAGCAAATTCATATTTCAGCTTCAAAAGTAAATCCCTATTTAGACCAGGGGTGTCAAACTCATTTTATATTGAGATCCACACAGTGGGTAATTTCATCTTGAGTTGGGTGGACCAGTGAAACTACAGCACTGCCTGATAACGCCAGCATGGCTTTTTGGGCATATGCTTTAAAAAATAAATGACTAAAGTACTCTTTGCACTGTAGTTAAAAACAGAAATTTACTGTTAATTTACAGAAAATGTGCTTTTTAATACAGGAAAAAATCTGGACCCACTGTTTTTAAAAATAAAACGAAATAAAAGAAAAAAGGGTAGAAACAGGAACTTCACTGTTATGGTTTATTTCTTACTCACCTGTTTACATGTTTTATGCTCGGCTCTGAGAGATTTCTTTGTCAGTAAACTGTACTTCTGTAAAACTGACCTAAATACAGAGAAACGTAAAAAATTATTTTTTCTTTTTTAATATTCTAACACCATCCAGTGGGCCGCATTGGACTCTTTGGCGGGGCCATTTCTGGTCCCCGGGCTGTATGTTTGACAGTCATTATTATCTTCAGTCATCCATCTCTCCCTCAGTCAACTGGACTTTTTAAGTTATTCCTTTTAATGTGGAGTAAATGAATAAATAAAATCAGAATACAATAAAGTCACTAATGCACTTCATGGTTATCAGTTCAATTATTCACATTTAGATGAATAAAATAAGAGCATCATATTAATGTATAATTAAGATGTTGGAGTTTTTACGGTCTTCTGTTTGGGGAATGCTTCAGAACTGGATCGTACTTAATTATCTTCTTTTATTCCTCCTCTTCTACTACTACTGCTTCCTCTACTCCCCATCTTTCTTCTTCTCAACCTCTCGCTCGCACCCCTTGCACGCACACCCAACCTTCAGCCATAAAAACAACGTGTCAGCTTTTAAAAGTGCAGCAATATTCAAGGTTTAAATTTACCTGCAGAGAGATTTGACAGGAGGGCAAGAACACAAAGCAATAAATACTGCAAATAATATGTTTGCAACTGTCTGTCCATGTTTTTAATCCTAACTGGAATTTGCTGTGACAACCTGCTGCAGTGTCATGTCGGTTGTGGTTGATTTGTTGAGAACTTTGTACCGAGTCTCTAGATGGCAGTCTGGAGCTGTGCGTTCACTTCAGTCTAAATGACCTTTGTTCTCTCTGTTCCTTCTCTCCGTTTTATACTGACTATAAAATAGAGCTAAATGATAAACTGCATTCCTGTTAAGCAGGGCACATTTGTATTTCTATTCCCTCAGGAGAGGAACTACAGCGCAGATGTTGCAAAGATCTACTCCATCGTCATCACCAACGCCATCGGAGGCGTGGCCACGAAGTGTCGCCGCTGTGCTCTGACGTCTGTTAAGGCCGGCTCTGCCTGTGTTCTCTGCCCACCGGGACACTACATGGTCAACGGGACAGGAGCGTGTCAGAAGTGCCCGCCAAACACCTTCATTGGGACTGATCAGCCAGTTGGGAAAGCTGCTTGTATTCGGTGTGGGCCAAACACAACGACAAACAAGGTGTAGAACAAAACCCTTTCCGAAAGCAGCACATGAATGTGTCCAGGTGCTCACTTTTTTAGTATTCCATTTTTTTGTGGAATTGCAGCGTGCAGAGGGATTTAGGCAAGGCAAGGCAAGGCAAGGCAAGGCAAGGCAAATTTATTTGTATAGCACAATTCAACAACAAGGTGATTCAAAGTGCTTTACAGAGACATTAGAAACAAAAACAAATAAAAAGCATGTACAGAGAAAAACGTTAAAAAAAAAAAGTAATTTGGGGCATGAATGAGGAAAGAAACTATAAAACAGGCTTTCTTTTCTTTTTTCCATTTCTTTTGGTATATCTCACAATAAAACTACACAAATTAATCCCACATGCTCAAACAAATCAATCACTTTACTGTCTGAAATCCACAAGACCCAAAACATTGACGTCGTTTATTGTGGAAAGTGATTTTTCTGTTTATTCTGTGATTTCATGTCTGTTGAGCTTCTGTAAACTATCCAAGACGCTCTTTATTCACTACCATTAAAGAAAATTAGTTTATCGTTAATTTGTAAATATGTAAAGAATTTCACTCAAGAAAACAAATCCTCCAAAGACAGTGATTCCTTAACTCTTTAAAGCCCGAACCATGAAATAATTGCTTGAAAATTCTACTTTTTTAAAATGAAATTAAATGTTCATTTGCATATATGAATTTTAATTTGTATAATATTTGCTAGAGCTGGCATTTTTTGGGAAATTATTCCTTAAAAAATGTTTTGTGCAAATTTATTTTGGTTTTTCAAAGGGAAAAAAAATCACACTGATGATACAGAAGGGTCAGAAACAGAAAAACGAAGTATTAAATATGAAATACTTGGCTCTAAAGAAGCAAAGGAAATCATATGTCTCTGTCATATACATGCCAGCTATAATAGTTGGCTTTCCCACAGAGAGAACGTGAGGTGTTTCTCTCAGTGTATGATGTGTGCTGACACGCTCACCTCGTCCTTCAGGCCTATACAGCTTGTCTCAGTGACTGCATACTGGATTTGCGCACAAGCAAAGGAGCGCTGCTGCACTACGATTTCTCTCCTTTGGCCAACGTCACCAGCGTCCATAGCAGCCCCCGCTTCACCAGCAAAGGCCTGCGGTACTTCCATCGCTTTAATCTGGGCCTGTGTGGGACAGAGGTGAGAAGGCAACCGTCCAAATGACGTTTCTTTTTTGCAGAACTGCGTTTGACGTGCATTTTAACCTTGCTGTGTTTCTCTCACAGGGCCGAATGCCAGCTTCCTGTGTGGATAACGTAACAGAGAGTGGGAGAGAGGTCAAAGGTTATGTCTGTCAGTCCACTGTGGTTCCCTCTGACATCAGGAGTCAGAGCCTTGTGTCCTCACAGCCTTTCCTTATTGGTGACTCACTCATTGGTATGAACTGAATGAATAGGTTTTTGGTTTTTGCTGTAAATACAATGAGACACTTGCAGGAGTTTGTTAATCATTTATTGAAAAGTGTGTTCAGATAATAATTAAGCTGGCTGTGAGGATTTGCATTTCTCCTGCTCCTCAGTGTTCAAGGTCATTGGTGCTCCAGAAAAGCAATTTCTGGACATTTGCTTTCAGGATTAGCACAGGTTTTTTTTAAATTAATTAATAAATTAATAACCCTAAGGATGCTACTAGAAGTGTTTCAGCTACTATTTTTGAACAGTGGAGTGTTTACTCTGCTGGAGTGTAGGGCCATAATTGTGCATTTTTAAACATTTCATAAATTTTTTAAATGAAGATTTCAATATTCACTTATAGCTACATGCAGATTCCTTAACCCTCCAGCATATAGTTTCATACTTACATGACTAAAAAGTCCCTTGCTTGATTCAACGTCTCACGTCTTTTAGCTCTATGCAGCCTGCTACAAGGTATCAAATATACTTTACTTTGTATATCTAATATATCATAATGGCACATGTATTCCAATTCCAAAGGTGTAACCACTGAGACGACACTTGGTAACATCTCTTCTCCACAGTGGATGTTCCCTGCAGCACTGGGCCTGCCTGATGTTCTATTCTATTACAAGTAAGTGAGCTCACAGCTATTCATTCATTTTGTTGATCCATGTAGATGGTTCAGTAGTAAATATTCATTAAAAAAAAGAAGCTTTGATCATCTTTTAGAAATTAAAATGTAACAGAGAATCAAGAGCACTTTAAAATTTCTCACTTGGCGTGTGCTTTTGATGTTTCCAGGTCCAGTGACGCAACTCAGTCTTGTCAACAAGGCCGGTCAGCTACAGTCAGGATGAGATGCGATCCCACAGTGACCGCTAAAAATCGCATCATGCTGCCAAGGTGCTGTAAACAAAAACCGAGCTCGACCTTCGACCTGTCTAGAGTCGACTAGCGACTGCTTTGTTGACAAACAGCAGCCGTTTTTTTGCACTAATAGTTGTCACATTCAGAGCTGCAGACAGAGTGACTCCCGTGAGATCGTTTTTAAAGCCTCTGACCGTCTGTCTTACTTTCTTTTCCTCCACAGTAACTGTTCAGAGGGGACATGCGATGGTTGCACTTTCCACTTTCTGTGGCAGAGCCAGCATGCGTGTCCACTCTGCACTAAAAACCACTACAGAGAAATCGTCAGTGCTTGCATCCAGGGAATACAGGTAATGCTCCATACCCGCAGACATACTGCCAAAAATCCTCCTCTGCGTCAGATCCATCATCACATCTTTCCACATTTCATGTTGTTTTATGGAAAGATATAATTAGAAAAACATATTTTTTGTCGCATTGGATTACAGAAAAAATATTTAGACAATGATTAAGATAAGTGCACTTTTCCTTGTGATTTAAAGTGAAGCACAAGCATCTTTTATGGAGATTAAATGTCAGTTCAGCATAATGTGAATTACAATTTCCAGCAGGTAAGATGAGAAGACTGATAGCGCTCAGTTTAATATAAGCTCACTCTTCCAGTGTGTCCAGTTAGCATACTGCTTACCATATCTCAAGCTCATTCATCAAAAGTCTAGTTTTCACTAAATGCTAATCTCCTGCTGCCTGTAGCTAACTGAACAATATCAGCCTGATAGCACTCTGCTTATCAGATCTCTCCACCAGAAAGCATAATTCTCAAGACAGACGAGGAAGGAAAGTTGGACTAAATGCTCGTATGTGTGTTTCAGAGAACCACCTATGTGTGGCAGCAGCCTGTGCAGTGTTACGGAGGACAGCCGCTGCCTGCACAAAAAGTCAGCGCTTGCGTGACTCTGGATTTCTGGCTCAAGTTTGGTGTTTCCACTGGAGCCGTTGCTGCTGTGTTGCTCATCAGTCTCATCTGTTATTTTTGGAAAAAGACACGCAAGTGAGACTATCACACTCTATACTTCCTGTAGTGTTTATAGAACAGCTGGCACATCCAAACCGCTAAATACATCAAAGACAAAACAGAGAACAAGGTGCTGTTCCTGTTGTCTCCCATCTGCAGGCTGCAGTATAAATACTCCAGGCTGATGATGACCTCTGGGGGTAGGGAGTGCGAGCTGCCCACCGCAGACAGCTGTGCAATAATGGAGGGAGAGGATGCAGAGGACGACCTCATGGACCTCACCAAGAAATCCTTTTTCACCAAAATTAAGTCTTTCTCACGCGAGGTCAGTAACCCCCTCATTCCCGTTCACATTGACCTACTTGAGCTGACTTACCTTGCTTCATGTTGCCATCAATATGTTTCCAGAGAACATCCGACGGATTTGACTCGGTTCCCCTTAAGTCATCATCTTCACGCCAGCGACTAGTAGAGGAAGACTCTGATGATGAAATTGAGCAGATCACTCTACCAAGGCACAGAGGAAGTGTTCAGATGTAGACGGTTTAGCTTCAGAGCGGCTTTTTCTGTCAGAAAAAGTTAGACTGTTGATGGATGTTAGTTAATAAGATATTTGCATTACTGAAGAGAATGTAGAGACATACTTTTGAGGATGTCTTGAAAGTTTTTAGAACTAAACAGAGACCGAAATATTTGTTATTGGTCCAAAAATGTAAAGACTGAGAATTTGTTTGTAATTATCACCCCCCCCCCCCCCCAATCTCACACAAAAAATGTATATCTCAATCTGACTGAGAAATTGGTCCATACTTTCAGTACAGCTAATGTTAGTCTACTGTAATGCTCTATTTGTTGGATTGTCCAAATTATCAGTAGAACAACTTCACCTTACACATAGATGGAAATTTGAACATATTAATCCATTTCAATGGCTCTCAGTTCAACACAGAGTCACCTTTAAAATCCTTCTATCAGTTTATGAAGCACTTGCTCAATGTCTACAACCCGATTAGCTGTCTCAGACCATCAGGGGGAGATTTTTTCCCAGAATTAGATCCAAGCTTTCATTTCTTGTGGTCCTATTCTGTGGAACAAGCTGCCTACTGATGCCTTTTACAATTATTTCAACATTCACCAAGAGACTCAATATCTTTTTATTTCTTCCAAGTTTACACCTGGTAACTGTGTGTGTGTTATTTTAGTTCTTTGCAAAGTTGGTTTTGTTGTTTTTAATACCTTAAGGCATAGTAGACCTTTTATGTTAAGTGTATTGAGTTTACATGTAATGAAATGTTCTACATAAATAAAATGGTCATTGCTATATTTTTATGTAGTGTTGTTTCTCAGTTGAAATACAATATTAGCATCCGTTTGGGGGATATAGTGTATTTTTAAAGCCCAGGGTGTTTTCATGACGGTGTAGGATCCAAATTTATTTAGAACCTGTGTACACGTGACCGTGTATATCTTTTCTCCTCTTTTATACTTGGTTTTTTTTGACATCTTGTTCAGTTGTAAATTTATATCTGTTGAGTGAGTTATATTTGCCAAAGTTTAACATTTTCTGCTGTTTAACAACATATGATTATGCTTTACTGTAAAGTAAATGCATTTTCTACATTAAAAGTCTCTCACCAGGACGTGACCTCTGATGCTGCCTTCAGGTACTTTTTTAAAGCTCACTTCACAAATAAAAAAATAAAAATAAAGTGGTTGTTGGTTTAAGGACGATAATTATCGTGTACATTTTGAGTCAAGCGGATGAATATGGGTTTTTAGTGAATTTATTGTAAAGTAAACATGCTACAGGAAAAAAACACAGTTAACTCTTAATGTTACATCCTGTTTAATCGGGTGGTATAACTAAGATACTTTAGTCAAGTACTCTCCAATTCACACGGAAAGTTCATAACTTTTATCTATTTAAACGGAATTATTTTCGATATTCTGCAGATTAAAATGCTTAAGCCACATTCATTTTTTTTTATTATTATTTTTAATCGTCTAACACCGATTAGTTCTCCGAGGATTTTTCCTGCACTACCTGAACGCAGCACCGTTTCAGACGTCGTCGGCACAGCTGTCCCAACTTTTTTTTCTTTCTTTTTCCCGCGAGATTTTGCGCCGTTTAGCGAAGCGAGTGGG